ATCTAGTGAATCTCAACAGTTTATACCAAGTGCAGAGGAACAAGCCAAAACTGATCGACACACTAATCGATGGCACAAACAGGGAGCGACACCCAAAGGTACTCGAGAGATCAGATTGTCACGAGTATCTCATATTGCTGTGATAGCATCCTTTACCCAGATTCGGCTATGACAAGGCTTGTAAATACTGGTATTCTACCACCCCCTATACATCTTGAGAACAGATTTGAAGCGTTAATGAATGCGGGTGAGGGATCCCCAAATTTGATTAAACATGGATCAGATCAGCCAGCAGCTAACATCGCTACTAACAGGCGCTCAAGGTCGAGCAGACAGCGGCATTCAGCTCAGAGCACAGCCGAGCCCAGGACTCTGATAGTGGGCGACTCCATTATCAGAAATATCAGTAGCAGAAATACAACAATATGCTGCTTTCATCAAGCAACCGTCTCTTATGTGAACAGGGAACTCCGGAACATTCTGATGAAGCACAAGACTGCAAATCGAATCATCATCCATGTGGGGAAGAATGATATTCGGAAAGAGCAGTCAGAACTCCTTAAGAAGGATTTCAGTGAACTCTTTGAAACACTTCGAAGACTCAAAGTTCAGTCGTTCATCAGTGGACCACTCCCAGCAAGGGGAACTAACATGTTTTCACGGTTGCTTGGGCTGAACACATGGTTACAATTATCTTGCAATATAAAAGGAGTGAATTTCATCGACAACTTTAATCTTTTCTGGGGCCATAGACAACTGTTAAAACCGAATGGCCTCCACCCAAACAAACTTGGTGCAAGAGTGCTGAAGGACAATATCTACTTCTCCCTCCGTCATCCTTCAGCATGAATAGCACACACACACCTGGTCCGAGTCGTCATGTGGTTGACACATCCCACAAGGACACTGATAACACCACGCAGCCACAACAAGCACTGCTCATGGACACCATCCCGGCTGAGCCCTGCTCACAGAGCTCATCACAGACAGACTGTGACGTATCAGAACAGCTCCAAGACTCAGCACCCAAGGACGACTTTCTGGAAAACAGCCAGGAAAGCCAGGACAACACATCACAGCCACCAGAAACACCAGAGACACAGCCCATCTCACCAGACACATTATCCCTCTCTCCAGCATCTCCACTTCTATGCTTCTCACAGAAAATGCAGAAACTGGTGTATGCTGGGACCAAACTCTTCCACTCATTCGCTGCAAGCCCCCAGACATCAACTAAAAAACGGCGGGCCCCCCAACCACCAAAGTCTGTGGGCCCAGCTCGTCATCCTCCTCCTGTGAGAGCTCTCCCGCCGCTGCCACAACGCCGGGGCCCAAACCCTCCATCTGCTGTAGGTGAACCAAAAACAACTGATAGCATCTCTCAGTGATATGTGTCGGGTTCCAGAACAAGCGGGAACCCAGTGTGCCTGTAGTTTTTTCTATTTCTGTTTTATCACGTGATAGAAAGTCTAAGGCCTTCTTAAGCCGTACGGCTGACTCATCTAATCTGCGGCCTGTTATGCGTCAAACTAAGATTGCTGTAAAGACACAAATAATGCCATCAAGTTAGCATTTTTAAACATTTGCTCACTATAAAATAAATAATTTCTAATCAGTGACTTAATAACCACAAACAACCTGGATTTTATGTTTCTAAACGAAACATGGCTAGAAGACAGCTGCAGTGCAACGGTCCTCAATGAAACAGCCCCTCCTAACTTTACTTTCATGAGTGTTTGCAGGACTGTTAGGAGAGGTGGAGGTGTAGCTGCTCTATTTAAAGATGTCTATCAATGCAAGCAAGTGTCATTTGGTCAGTACTTGTCTTTTGAATATCTAGGGATTGTGCTGAAAGGTGCTCCACGCATTCTGTTTATCATTATTTAAATATATAAATTATTTAATAATTATATAAATACTCTCCAGCCTTTGTTGAAGAGTTCACAGAAATGTTATCAATGATTTCCTCAGAGTTTGACTGTTTTGCTATTGCAGGGGATTTTAATATTCAAAAGAAATTATAACTGTTTTAAACACTTTTGACCTGATTAAGCATCTGCATGAACCTACACACAATCGTGGACATACTCTAGATTTAATCATCAGTAGGGTCTAAACATTTTATCCATTGTTATTAAGGACGTAGCTCTATCTGATCACTTCTGTATTTTCTTTGATATATTGATCTCTGTTACCACTGAATCTAGATCGGTCTCAGTCAGAAAGAGATGCATTAACGAAAACACTCATTTAGGATTGATTTTAAAGTACTTTTACTCGTTTATAAATCACTCAATGTGTCACGAATCCGGTCCATGAATTTCCGTCGGCTAACCATCAGAGGTCACCCTTCCCATTTTCATTGACTCTCGCACTCACACTGTTGCATATCTTCCCGGACTACATATCCCATCATTCACAGCACTGATTGCACACAGCTGGTTCACTAATTGCACAACACTGATTGCACCCAGCTGTTTCATATCACTCCCTCACTATTTAACACTCACTCTGATCCCTTCCCTCTGCCGAGTATTGTTTAGCGATTATTACTCCCCTAGCGATAGCTACACTACAGAACCCTCATTAGTTTCCCTGCCTTAGCCTTAGCTGTTTTCTCGGTTTCTGATCCTTGCCTGGTTTCCTGGATTTATCCCTTTAGTCTCGCCCTTTTTGATTCTGTTCGCCATTCGTTGACCTTCGCTAGCCCTAGGATCATTCTTGTGTCTTGCCAGCCATATACCTGTCTGCCATTATCTGACCCATGCCTGTTTTATGACCACGTCTCTGTCTTCTCCTAATAAAAAGCTTTGCATATGGATCTGCACGTCTCACGTCTCGTCAGCCCCGTAACAGAATACTCGGCCCTGCAGCTTGAAAAGCTAGTCATAATTTGAAGTATAACACCATAATTTATATATCTGAGTTTGATGAATGGCAACATTATCATTTGGCCAAATATTATTTTATATATCACTAGAAACTAAAGACAATGTAAAATGATAATTCATAAAGTTTCATACAGAAATGAATGAATGAATGAATTCACTGAAATGAATCAGATTTCCAAATATGAGAAAGTGTGCATTGTAGAAGAGTTAATTTGATTTTTACTTCAGTTCACTCGACTGTAAAGCTGTGTATACAAAACAACGTGACAAAAATAGTGGTTTTGCATTGTCTTTTCTTCTCTACTGTGACGTATATCTGAGTGAAACGGCATCTGAAATTAGAGGGCGGGACTTGATTTCGTTCTTCGCAAAGACTAAAGTCTCAAATCGAAAGAGATATTCTTTATAAAAGTTAAGAGTCAGCCACGCCCCCCTAAAACGGCTCGTTCTAACACGCCCCCACATATCTATGTCACGGTTTGGGAAGATTTGCATAACACCGCCCAAATTTTCACACAAAGAAAGAAACATTTGTACATCTGAACAAAGTGATATTTTAAGGTCACTTTTCGAAAAAACTATTGATTTTGCTTTCATTTCTTTTCAATTACTTTTTGAGTTAGTTGTTGCAGCCCTATATTATTATTTTTATTATTATCATTATCATTTCCACTGGCATATCTTGGCTTTCTCAAGCCTGTTCTACTATTTAAACGTATTACTAGAAGAAACTTTCACCAATGAGAAACCTTTCGGCACGCTTTTAAACTGCAGCTACCCCTACTTTGAATTATTACTAAGCACCCCTCTGAAAGTGCAATGGTTTAATCCACTGTTGTTTTGAATTGGTCACAATTATCTTTGGTTGGAGCCATTTTGTAGCCTACCAAGAAGAAGAAAAAGTTATAGAAGCCATTTTTCCCTAAAAGTAACTGCATCACGTTGACATAGCAAGTGAGTATCAAATGTCATTATTTAATACACAAAAGACCGTGGTATTTATATTTGGTTTGATAGACGGGCGTAATTTACGGGTGGGACATGTCCCCGCCACTTGCCAGGGTCGATATTGTCCCTAAGTTACCCCTTTTTGAAACATCTCGCGGTGGCCGGGCAAATGAAATGGAATCTGTTGTTTTTGAAATCATGCTAAATGTTCGTTGCGGTGTGATTTTACTCAGTTATTAGTGACAGAACGTTCTCTTGTGGCTCGTAAACAGTGTTCACTCACGAGCGCTTCAATATATTTATTAATTCCGGTTAAATCACAAAACAATACACACAAACGTGTCCCTGCTCTTGATATACGATCACTGATGAACATCTTTCATTTTATTAAGGGGGAAAATGCGAGGGCGGATTAGAACCCAAAATCTATGACACCTGATCTCTAACGAAAATTCTACCATTAGACTGTTTAGGAATCCAAATGATTAATATGCATTTATTTACTGACATGAATCTCGGGCATAATAATATACGTTATTATAATACATGTAAGAATAAAATGATGTCAATTTGAACAACAACGCAAAACATAGGCATGTTGAGTTTCTGTTAGCGATTCCTAGAAAAATCACTTCCGGCCTTGTTTCCAGCTGCATTTCGCGCCACAGCAATGACGTCATGTGCAAACAACCTATAGTGAAATGGATCATACCAAGTAAGTCCTAGTGGTGGGGGAGGAGCTAGTCCTCTGCCATTGGTAAAAAAATAAAAAAAACAGGAAATGGTAGAAACTAATACTTTTTACATTCAATTACAACCGTAAGTGAAATCCACTTGACTAATTCAATAATATTATGTTTTACCTAATAGATTTCCCCCATGCCTTGTAATTATTTACTGTGAATTACTGCGTTTCTGAATTATTGTTTTTGCCATTTGCAATCAGTCAGTCAAGGAGACTAATCAGATGCACCAGTGCAGCTCCATAAGGACAAAATGGATGTACAAAAAAATGAAGATGGGAATTTTTCTTCAGAATGCAGGTACTCTAAAGACAACATGAAATAAAAAAGACTCGGCATCAAAATGTAAAAAGTTGATTTGCTTATGAAACAACTTTTCAGTTGATGTCACTAAATCCTCTTGTTTGCTGTATTACAGTTCAGTGCAGCAGGAGAGATCAGATTCACCAGAGCCCAGCTGTGTGTCCATGAAGAGTGACTGCTCTATGGATGATGACACACGGCCGAATCTCAGGTGTTACTTTTCATTTCAGAATTTACTAAACATGTAACACTGGGTAATTTGAGTATTGCTTTTATTAATACATTTAATTAAGGTACATTTAGATGTCACCTTTTCTGTCACTGCAACTTCCCGATCAGGCGAACACACACACAAATTAAATGTCTGCCTAATGAAAAAAAACTATGTATTTAAAAAAAAATTTTTAGTTAATATTTGTATCATTTATGATTTATTTTATCCACCCGTGACCCACCCGCAAATAATCAGAATGCATATTTTTATTACCCGACCCACGGATATCCGCAGCGCCCGTGGATATAACTATGACTGAACTGTTTTGTTCTTTCAGTAGTTTAAATGTTTCCATTTCTTTTTTTACTCTTCAGTCTTATATTGGACAGTATTAAACCTTATGTGTTACATCAGACTTCTCCATGTTGGAGTTTAAATGCTTCTATTTATTTTATTTAATGTTTATTTTGTCCTCCACTGTTTAGTATTGGATAATGTTTAACTTTAAATAAACCTTGTGGGTTGCATCAGACTGTTCCATTTTGTTTGTATTTATTTTTGTCTTATATTAAGTATCCTGATATACATAATGTTATACATAAACCCCATTTTAAAGGCATATTTAAATGTTCACCGTATAAGGAATATTTTTTTGTGATTATTTATATAACATTATTACATATGTTATATAAAGCTTGAAGCAGAGATGTTCACAAGTCTTTAACTTGGAGTCTGAGTCAAGTCTGAAGTATTTGGTCGAGTCTCAAGTCATTTAATGTCTTGCTAAAAAAATCTAATTAAGAATCCTCATGTATTGAAATCTTCCTATTTAGGAAGCTGTTTTATAGGCTATAGACAAAATATATATTCTATGATCTGCTTTGTAAAAAATAAAAAGTGGTGTTAAGAAGTCAGGTTATTGTACATCCAGCCTGTTATTTATATGCTATGTTTTAATCCCATTACCATGTTCAAAACAGTTTTTCTGTAATGAAATTCTATAATAAGAGTCCGATCTACCATGACACACAAGGAAATATGTGACACAGGCATTACAAAACCATCCAAATAAAGTATTTCTTTAGGGTATTCAATTAAAGTTCCAGTTTCCTCTATATTTTCTTCCATGCAGAGGTCCGAACAAAAAAACAACAAAAAAAAACATTTTTGCATGTATTGTATTTTTACATTTAGATACATGTGAGGCCATGTGACAGAAAAAAATACTGTTTCTGTTCAAGGTTTTCCTCCTGAAATCTATATTTTAGCCTACTTAAAAGCATTATCTAAAAACAATGTAGCTACAATAATCAAAATGTTCTCATCTTGAGCAGAAAAGAAAGATAACTAGCAATTTCAAAGTTTAAGTTCTATCCTAGCCATCTAACAGCAATTTTCCCAATTATTATGACATGATTCTTTTGAAATGTTTTTAGCCTACAGATTAATAATACTAAATGTAGATCAGAAACCGAAACGTTTTGTCACATCTGGTTTGAACAGTCAGAGTCATCGGTTATAGACAGATATATAGATAGTATGAAAAATAACTATATTTGCAGCATTGTTGTTTTCTGCTGTTTCTGCTTTTGTTGTTTCATCCGCAGCTCTTGGCGCCGTCGTGCGTCCAGAGAGAGAAAAAGAGAAAGCGCATGGAGCTGAAAGGGCTTGAATAAAGCGCGTTTGGCTTTTGATAAAAATACTAGAAGATATAGCGCTGAAAGTAATTTACCATAAACGACCCTGAGTGCTTGTTATGTGATCCGCTCTGCTGTTTTGGCGCGCTGTTCACTTAAAATGGTGCTGTTATGGCTCGCTGTTCGGATGGATGCCGGGGGGCAGATGCGGTTCGCCTTTTGAATATCAGTTATATAAGTATTTTAAGGATAAAAGACTCAAGTTGCTTTAAAAATTTTCGAATCAAGTCTGGAGTCATTTCAGGTAGAGTCTGAAGTCTATAAAAATGCGACTCGAGCCCGAGTCACTAACTCGAGTGCCCATCTCTGGCTTGAAGCATCAGAATTGGCATCGGTATCGGCCGATCACCATGACAAGAAATTGGTACTCGGTATCAGCTGCAAAAATCCTGATCGGATCATCCCTACTTTACTGAACCTTCTAAAAACACTGCAAAAAGTGACGTTCTTCATCAATATTTTAGTCGTGTTTCAGTGCAGATGTCTAAAGATTCATTAAAGGGGTCATATGATGTTGCTAAAAAGAACATTATTTGGTGTAGTGCAATGTGTTTACGTGGTTTAAGGTTAAAAAAAAACATTATTTTCCACATACTGTACATTATTGTTGCTCCTTTATGCCCCACCTTTCTGAAACATGTCGATTTTTACAAAGCTCTTCGGGCGGAAAAGCGAGGTGTTCTCTGATTGGCCAGCTATCCAGTGCGTTGTGATTGGCCGAATACCTCAAGCGTGTGATGGAAATGTTACGCCCCTTACCAGGATCAGTAAACGGTCCTCCATAGAAATGTGCTGCACACATCTGAATATTTGGGTTGAACTGTTCTGGAACAGTGTTGTAAATACAACTTTAACCACTGATTTCTAGTCGTGTCCATTTTTGGAAGACCAAACAAAGTAGTTTGGTTTTCGCAACAAAACACACAGCGTCTCCACGACATGGCGGCGGCGACAGCAACAATACTACAGCAAGAATCAAAGTTACGCCGCCTTTCTTTGCGTATACATTTGGGCGGTGTTATGCAAATCTTCCCACACAGTGACGTAGATATGTGGGGGCGTGTTAGAATGAGCTGTTTTAGGAAGGCATGGATGAGTGTTCACTTTTATAAAGAAATTCTTTGTGTTTGAGACTTTAATCTTTGCAACTTTACAGATCTTCTGTATGCACTAACAGCTTTTAAAGGGGTCATACGATGCGAATTAAATTTTTCCTTTCTCTTTGGAGTGTTACAAGCGCTTGGTTTATAAAGAAGATCTCTAAAGTTGCAAAGACTAAAGTCTCAAATCCAAAGAGATATTCTTTATAAAAGTTAAGAGTCAACCACGCCTACCTAAAATGGCTCGTTCTAACACGCCCCCACATGTCTACATCACTATGTGGGAAGATTTGCATAATGCTGCCCAAATGTTCACGCAACGAAAGAAGGCGTAACTTTTATTCTTGCTGTTGCTGCCACTGCCATGTGGTGGAGTCGCTTTGTGTTTCGTTGTGAAAGCGAAACTACTTTGTTTGGTCTTCCAAAAGAGGACACGACTAGAAATCAGTGCTTAAGTTGTATTTACAACACTGTTCCAGAACACTTCAACCAAAATATTCAGATGTGTGCTGCGCATTTTATGGAGGACGTTTCCTGAACCAGTAGCCTAATGTGTCTGTTGCACAAAGGCTGTTTCTATAAAGTTGGGCAGTTCCATCTTTGCAAGGACAGTCTGGCGCTTTTGACTCACAGCCTGTAAGTACGTTTTTGATATTTAAAGAATTTGTCACTGATGATTCAAACGCGAGTTTTGAGCAGTGTAGAGTAGCGCTTGTTGTTTGTTGTTTCTCCGATCACAAATGCAGACATGGTTTTATGTTTACGCAGCGTGATACGCAACGCAACGCTTAAAAAAAACAGTATGTCATTATAATCAGTAATTATGTCCCCACTGGATGCAATAAATGCCTCATTTGTAATGGGTTTTATTGGCTTTGTCTCGTCCTGCTGGGAGACGTCATCACAATATGGTAAGGGGCGTAACATTTCCGTCACACGATTGAGGCATTCGGCCAATCACAACGCACTGGATAGCTGGCCAATCACAGCACACCTTGCTTTTTTAGAACGATGAGCTTTGTAAAAATTGATGCGTTTCAGAAAGGCGGGGCATAGAGGAGCAACAATAATGTACATTATATGTAAAATAATGTGTTTTTTTTAATCTTAAACCGCATAAACCCATTGCATTACACCAAAAACACAAAATAATGTTCTTTTTAGCACCATCATATGACCCCTTTAACACTCCAAAGACAAAGGAAAACATGAAATCGTGTCATATAACCCCTTTAAATCAAGACACATTTACTTAACAAGTAAAATGGCATAAGATATGAAGTCTTGTTTTCTGTGAAACTGATCAAAATAAAGTGAATTTATGATTAAAAATGAACTAATATCTGTCAGTGGGCTCAGAAAAATCTACTCACTTATAAACATTTATAAGTATAAACGTATATAATTTTTTTTCTTTTTCATTTTTTTTCTGTACAACATCAAAATGTAAAAAGGTGATTTGCTTTTGAAACAACTTCTCAGTTGATGTCACCAAGCCCTCTTGTTTGCTGTATTACAGTTCAGTGCAGCAGGAGAGATCAGATTCACCAGAGCCCAGCTGTGTGTCCATGAAGAGTGACTGCTCTATGGATCCTCCTCCCAAATTAAAGGGTGGAGACACACGGCCGAATCTCAGGTGTTACTTTTCATTTCAGAATGTACTAAACATGTAACACTTTGTAATGTGAGTATTTCTTTTATTAATACATTTTATAAAGGTAAATTAAGGTACATTTAAGACTTTTTAAGGACCAAGTAAAGGAAATTTAAGGAACACAATGTGTTGTATTAGCGAATGTTACAGTTTGGCTCGCAACTGCAGCAAAAGAAGGCTATCACAAACAAAATACATTACAAAAAGTATATTTTATTATAAATCTCTAAGGGAAGACATAACGGAAGAAAATAAAAAGAAACATTCAAAACGCCGATGTTCTCAGCCATGGCCACCAAAGTAGAAGAAAATGGCGAGGATCTGGTGGAGGAGAAGCTCTAAACCATAGCACCTGCCACCTGTGCACATTCCTGCAAAAGCAACAAAGAAACAACAGAACAACTCCACACACCCAGCTAGTTAGCAAACAGACATTTAAATAACCGCGGCCCATCTATACTAGGTGTTCGCAATCACAAACGGACATCCACAGATGACGAACAGGA